GCCTCCTGCACACAATGACAGGTGTGTCTGCCACATCTGTCTAATTTCTTTTCTAATCAGACAGCAGGTGCTAATTGTGAAACCTGTTTGTTGATGGGGGGGGGGGGGGGGGGGTAAGCTTCCTCACAGGCGCCTGCACACAATGACAGGTGTGTCTGCCACATCTGTCTAATTTCTTTTCTAATCAGACAGCAGGTGCTAATTGTGAAACCTGTTGTTTGTTGACTCAGGACCTCCCTCGGTGCCTTCAGCCTGGTGGTCCGCTGGGTCTCATTCAGAGGGCTTAGGGTTGCTGGTGGTAACAGCAGCCCCAGGCCTGGGAGAGCCGGGCTGTGGTGCCTTTGGTCAGTATGCAGGGGCCGGAGTTGTTTCCTTTCCTGCCTTTTAGAAAGTTCCCTCCCATTTCATCTCTGCCACCTGAGCCCTTGCCCTGGGCACTCCCATGTGATGCTGTGGAGCCAGCCAGCACCACCTCCTCCCTGCTCTTAAAGAGGCTGCCCTCAGAGCCAGGCCCGTGCATGGGGTGGGGAGGTGAGGATATGCCAGCACATTGCTACCCTGACCCATACCCTGTCAGGCTTTCAAGGAGGGGAAAGAAAGATCCCTGAGCGGCAGCATCAGGGACTGCACATCTTCATTTGACATTTGACCTGAAGTCCAAGGGGCAGACATATTTGTCACCTTAAAAAAATCAGTTGCTTCCAGTACAACCACAACTGGGGCCCTGGCTTAGGCCGCTCCTGTGTTTGTCACCTCCATGTTTAACCTGTAGACTGCGGGGTGGACTGGTGTGTACGTGGGTGCGTGTGGGTGTTGGGGAGGAGGGGTGTCAAATGGAGGCTGAGCATTCATCACAGACACACCTCTGAAGCATGGGAGACGTGGAGAGTAAGATTCCTCCCTGCAAGGACCTTAGGGTGCAGCTGATAAGGCAGAACAGGCGCATACCCATGGGAGAGCCCAAAGATACTTATCCTTCGTGTGTCAGCAAGTCTGACCTAAAGGACTGCTGTTCACCGACTATCTCGGGTGGAGAACTGAGTAAAGGAGCCAGCGAGGTGGGAGGGCACCGGCGAGAGGCAGTGAGGAGAGTCTGACAGAGTGAGTGCTGGCCTTAGAATAGGACGGGAAGGTAACCCTGGAGCCCCACACCCCATCTCTGAATGAGGACTATGGGGTCAGCTCAGCTCTATGTCATGTAAGGTCCAGCCATGGCAGGCGGCCACCTCGTTTACCCTCTGTCAGGGCATCCTCTGAGAGCCACGTCAAACAACATCTTTATTTTTCTAGAAAATGTGCAAATAAATGCGTTTTATGTTATTTCAGGCCCTCAATTTTTATTTTGCATAAATTTACTATATGCTGCACAGTCAACTCAGTATACAAGAACGCACGTCCCTAAGTTGGCTAGTGGCATATTTCAGCCTCAGGTTAGGTCTAGTAGAAGGGGTTGGGCTGTGGAGACTGCTAAGCTCTTCCCTCAAAATGGGCCCAGGGCAGGGGGATGTGTTGAGCAAGGCTGGCAGGTCCCCTGGCCCTGTCACACATGTGAAATAGGGAAGGGTGAACTTTTCTAAGATTTTTTCTTTGTTTTCAAACTGCCTAGGCTCATTTAGCTTCTTGTTAAGGTCATTTTCAGTTAATTCTCGTCTTTCTTTCTTTACTTTTTTATTTTTTTAATTAAAAATCCAGAGATTGAATTGTCCTGAAAAATTGAAACATTCGATGGTGTTGCCAAATTAGGATTTGTTTTCCTCACTTTCAGAGCTCTTTCCAAGGAATTTTATTTCAAGAAAACAAAAATTAAAGTAAAGGTGATGATCACTCTGTCGCCTATTGCCCGTTGCCAGGTGATGGGAGGCAAATAGCATTTGGAGAAAATCCAGTGGTTCTGCTGAGTGTAGCTGGTGAGGTCAGGGAGACAGAAGACAGTGGCACAGTCCCGGCTCCTAAGAGTAGGGAAGTGCCCCAGGGGCCCCAGGCGGCTTTTCTGTTGGCTGAAGCTTTGTGGTCTTTGGGAAGAGGCAGTGTCTGGTGCCCTAGACGCAGGCTGTCTCCTGTCTGTCAGCTGCCTGGCCAGCCTGGGTCCTGCTGATTGGCTGTGAGTTTGTCTCAAGTTGTTAAGTCTCTTTCCCTTTCCCTGCCCTTGAGGAAACGTCCCCAACCCTTCTCTATGACCTTCACCTTCATATCCTGATGCTCTTCTGGCCTTGAAAATTTAAATTCTCTTCCAGAGTGTGTCCTCTCATTTCCCTGGCCTCTGGAGCAAGGTCACCTCTGAGGCCAGCCAGCTGGTCCTTCTTCCAGGTCTCCTCGCTCTAGAAGATACCCCATCAGTTGGTTTGATTCCCTTTGGAAGAAATAAGTCTCAATTAGTCAGCTTTCCTCGCCACGCCAACCACTTCTGTGTGTGCGGAGGGGGGTGGGGTGGAGTACCTTTTCTCTCTATTCTGAGCACGTCCCTCTCTGAGCCTCCACCCCCAGGATTTAATTCCAAGACCTTAAGGCCTCTCCCCCAATTTGCCAGATTCTGGGGCCAGCTCTGGAAAGAGAGTTAAATGGACATTTAAATTGCCACAAAGACAACCCATCTTTTATGAGATTCTCACCTGAGTCTTGAAACCTAAATGTTCCTCATGCAGAGTTCTCACTCCTGCTTCCGAAATTCCCCTGCCTAGGAAAACAAACACCCACAGGCAGACTTTGGCCCACAGCCCGTGGCATATTAAGAACAGTATGCCATATACCCCAGGTCCCTTGAAACATATGCTGTGAAGATGTTTCTTCCCTGCAGCGACTGTGTCAAGCAGCAAGGATGGACCGGCTTCTGGCAAATTCCCCCTTTTTTATTTTTTAAATGATAGCACGTGTGGCCATCTCTCAGATTGGGTTGTTTAAGACTTGGAAGACCTGTTTGTGACTTTGCCAACAGGTCAGTCCGAGGCTTAACCCTATATCGGCTCCCCACACCCCATCAGTTGGTTTGATTCCCTTTGGCAGAAATAAGTCTCAATTAGTCAGCTTTCCTCGCCACACCAACCACTTCTGTGTGTGCGGAGGTGGGTGGGGTGGAGTACCTTTTCTCTCTATTCTGAGCACGTCCCTCTCTGAGCCTCCACCCCCAGGATTTAATTCCAAGATCTTAAGGCCTCTCCCCCAATTTGCCAGATTCTGGGGCCAGCTCTGGAAAGAGAGTTAAATGGACATTTAAATTGCCACAAAGACAACCCATCTTTTATGAGATTCTCACCTGAGTCTTGAAACCTAAATGTTCCTCATGCAGAGTTCTCACTCCTGCTTCCGAAATTCCCCTGCCTAGGAAAACAAACACCCACAGGCAGACTTTGGCCCACAGCCCGTGGCACTTCACATGAGGCTGTGTCCACAGAAGCACATGTTCATGCGCACAGCAGCCTTTGGCTGGATGACAACCAGGCCTAACTTCTTGGCCAGAAGCCCAGGTACACAGGGTCCTCGGTGACTTCACTGTGGCCAGCCCACTTTTGGGGGCGGGGTCCATCTTGAGTTCCCTGCACAGTTCCACTGACCCTTCCCTCACATTGCTTTCTCCGGGCAAGACCACAGCCGCTCACAAGGAGAAGCCTGAAAAGTTTCCTCAGGAGGAAAATCAAGCTTGCTTTATTATCTCCTGTTCCCCATACACGGCTCATAGAAAAAAATCAGGGTTACTCGATTTTCTCTGAGGGAGAAGGCTGCAGCCAAGACCCTATCTGAGCAAACCTGCCCATCCTATTGGCTTCTCACCTGGGCCTGTCCTGAGGATGGTGCCTTTGAGGCATGTAAAGGCTGTTTGCAAACAGTAAGATGCATGTTCCCTTCAGGAGACTGACATGAGTGGGAGGACGGAGTAATGAAGAAACTCAGCCTCTCAAGGTGCAGGGTCTGGACTGTGGGGTCCCAAACAGATCAGGTTCTGACCTTGGGCCGGTTCAAGAGCAATCAGCAAGCCCTAACTGGTTTGGCTCAGTGGATAGAGCATCGGCCTGCGGACTGAAAGGTCCCAGGTTCGATTCTGATCAAGGACATATACCTTGGTTGCAGGCACATTTCCAGTAGGAGGTGTGCAGGAGGCAGCTGATCGATATTTTTAACTCTCTATCCCTCTCCCTTCCTCTCTGTAAAAAATCAATAATAATAAAAAAAGAGCAATCAGCAAGCTGTCAGCCTTTATTGGGTGCTTAGGGTGTGCCACGTTGTTGACTGGAAGGCTACGGCAGACGAGCTAGAGTCTCATCAACCTCCTGGGAAACTTAGAGGCCAGTTGGAGAAACAAGACCAACACAGAGAGTAGCTGGAGCATTGAAGGCACAGCAACCTTGGACAATGCTCTTAACCTCCCAGGAACTGTTCATTCATCTGTAAGTTAGGGATAATGTTAATGAAAGTCAAGGCTGGACCAACCAGATGCTGTTCAAAGGAGTTCAAAAAATGGCAGGTTCTTGCCCTGACCGGTTTGGCTCAGTGGATAGAGCGTCGGCCTGTGGACTGAAGGGCCCCAGGTTTGATTCTGGTCAAGGGCATGTACCTTGGTTGCAGGCACATCCCCAGTAGGGGGCGTGCAGGAGGCAGCTGGTTGATGTTTCTCTCTTATCGATGTTTCTGACTCTCTATCGCTCTCCCTTCCTCTCTGTGAAAATCAATAAAATATATTTTTTTAAAATGGCAGGTGCTTGTGGGCTGGAGTGGTCAGAGGGGGCTTCCTAGATGGGGAGTTCCTTCCTTGTAGCGACGGCCTGTGAGTTTCATCTTTGTATCCCCATCTCTAGCCCACTCCCCGAAATTCAGCAGGTGCTCAATTAATGCACATTGATAGTCTTCAATATTTATTTATTTATTTATTGTTAAAAATATTACGTATGTCCCCCTTTTTTACCTATTGACCCCTTCTAGCCCAACCCCACCCCCTTATTGATTTTGTTTATTTATTTTTAATTAAATCTTGATTGTTGAAAGTGTTACATTTGTCCCCCTTCTTCCCCCCTTGACTTCTTCTAGCCTGTCCCTACCCCACCCTAGGCCTTCACCACCCTATTGTCTGTGTCCATGCATTATGCATATATGCATACAAGTTCTTTGATTGATCTCTTCCCACCCACCCACCCTCCCCTGCCTTCCCTCTGAGATTCTGCAGTCTGTTCTATGCTTCTATGTCTCTGGATCTATTTTGTTCATCTGTTTATTTTATTCATTAGATTCCATATATGAGTGAGATCATTGTCTTTCTCTGACTTATTTCGCTTAGCATAATACTCGCTAGGTCCCTCCATGCTGTCTCAAAGGGTAAGAGATACTTCTTTTTTACTGCTGCATGATATTTCATGGTGTAGATATACCACAGCTTTTTATCAATTCATCTACTGATTTGAGAGAGAGAGTGGGGCGGGGGGAGAGACACACATACACAGAGAGAGACCAATTTTTTTGTTGTTGTTGTTCCTCTTACTGATGCATTCATTGGTTGCTTTTTGTATGTGTCGTGACCGGATATCAAACCGGCAACTTTGGCATAATGAGACAACTCTCTAACCAACTAAACTACTCAGCCAGGGCCTCAATTAATGCATTTGGAATGAATGGACAGAAGGGAAGGAGGAGCTAGGGCTAAGGTTGAAAGACAGTAGGATTGTCAGGTGCCTAGGAGAAGGGAGGGCCTTTCTGCCAAGGGACCAGTTGAGCCTGGGTGCCCAAGCAGGAATATTGCATGCATGGTGGGTGGGGGCTGGTCTGTCTTGCTATTTGTTGACAATTTCTGCACAGTAAAGAATTTAATATCTGTACTTTTCTCCAAGGGTGCTGACTACAGTGAATCTTCGGTGTTTCAGCCCACCTGGCCGAGGAACTCTTGGCCCCATTAACATGCCCTTATCTATGTCAGAGCCCAGACACAGAGTGCAGGACCCTGCCTGGAACGGGGGCCAGCCCGCAGCTCCAGGAGCAGTATTGTTGAAGCAAAACTTGGCAGGGTTTCAGCCTCTGCAGCAGGTAGCTGAGAGTGTGGGTGGGGATACAGATATTTTGCTCAGAGAAGTGGAGGGAATTTAGAGTTCTTTGTGGAAAATAGAAGAGGTTAACTTACTTATTACTCATCCAGACTTTTCTAGGATAACTCAGACTTAATGCTAATCTAAAAGCATTTTCCAACAAAGGCTCTAAAATGTCCGAGGGACCCAAGAGATGCTATAAACAGCTCCCTGCCAGTAAAAGAAGGGCGGTCATGGAGAACCACAGCAGAGCTTTGGGGATTTCCCTGCAGCCTGGAACTAAACCCCCTTCCTGGCCGGTGCCTATTTTATTACTACAAACTCTAGGCTTAGCATCATTTTGGTACACCACCGAGAAACTGAACTATCCTATCCGCCTCCCAAATGAAGCTATTGGGCTTATTCCAGACCTCAGGAAATGGACAGAGGCTAGGGCTGGAAGTTCTGCTGGTTGTCACCCCACACTTCAACTTACCAAAAATCCAGGGCAGGTGTATTTGCCAGTCTGCCTGTCCTAGACCCAGATGTCCACGTTCAAGGAAAATCTTTTGGTGTTATGTTTCATCTCAAGGATGTCAGGCAATGGGGATGGAAAATCGCTTTGGGGTTCTCCCAGGTCCTAATGTGTCATTCAGCCATGCCTAGAATTATGTTAGGCATAGATGGGAGATAAGAAATCACACTTTCCTCTGGGAGCACACAGAGGTTTGAAGGATCAAGACTAACCCATTCAAAACAATTAGAAATAGACTATATTCGGGTGGCAAATAAAGACAACCTTTTTAGAACTTGGCCCTGGTTGGCCTCTTTGGGAGGCACAGTACAGCACAGAGGGAAACCCAGGATTGGCCGGGGTTAGAAGCTTCCAGGGAGGCTAGCACTGCTTCAAACAATAAGAACCAAACCCAGAGATGGGAAAACTTCAGAGTGAGGACTCACACAAATCAGGCGGCCTCTTTTTCTTCCATTAAAAAATATTAAATCGCCTGGCTGGTGTGGCTCAGTGGTTGAGCGTTGACCCAGGAACCAAGAGGTCATGATTCGATTCCTAGTCAGGGCATATGCCCAAGGTATGGCTTGATCCCCAGTAGGGTGCATGATGGGGCAGCCGATCGATGATGTTTCTCTCTCATCAATGTTTCTATCTCTCTATCCCCCCATTTCCTCTCTTTCTAAAAACTAATAAAAACATATTTTTTAAAAATGTTAAATAATAGCCAGTGCATATGCCCAAGGTGTGGCTTGATCCCCAGTAGGGTGCGTGCAGGGGCAGCTGATTGACGATGTTTCTCTCTCATCAATGTTTCTATCTCTCTATCCCCCTCTTCCTCTCTCTCTAAAAATTAATAAAAACATATATATTTTTAAAAAATGTTAAATAATAGCCAACATCTATTATGTATTCTAATTGCTTTAACAAGAGTAGGTCACTCAGTCCTCCCAGTAACCCAGTGAAGTAGGTACCATTTTATGGATGAGAAAAATAAGGTGCCAGGAGGATCTAGCCACATAGTGAGAAGCCAGGTAGCATGTGCTCAGCTGCTCCCCATGGGGCTGAGCTGAGGATCTGGCGAGGATTTGGGAGCCAAGAACATAGTGGAGCTACAGCAGAGATGGTAGACAGTCTGTGGCCCTGGGAGTTTTGGAGGGATGCCCACAACACAGAACCAGGGTAGGCGGCCACAT